TATATATATATATATATATATATATATATATATATATATAGCAGTTTTTTAGTTCCACGTGCTTGCAATTTTCGCGAAACTTTTACCACAAAAGTCTATGTTTGATATCAAGGGGAGGTTCTTAGAGGCATAAAAACAGATGGATCCTATTTCTAATACAATCTGATAGTTTGTGCATTTTTATTGAGAAATTGAGGCCAGTAATATAGTTATTATTGAAAAACTTGTATTGATTCTGTATTTTTGTTGATTTCATGTTTTCTTAGTTAAATAACCATTGCAGTGTAATATTTGTTTGTCCCATTTTGCATGTTGTATGTGCTTATCCTTCACTTGAGTTGGAGGTATTCACCTATTTTCTTTTTCTTTAGAGTTATCTTTGTACACTTAAACACCTTTAATGTGTTTTAACATGAATAGTCTTTTCCTCTTTCAATTTTAAACACTTTCTGGCTATATCAGTCTATATTAATGAATAAAATTATCAGGAGTTATATGAAATCTTTGAATTTCTTTCTGTACTTAAATATTTCATCAAACAAGGAATATTCTGATAAGCATTCCTTTATAATTTACTTGATTGTTATCAGTGCAACTTTTTTTTATTAATTACAGTTTATTCACTTTGGTTCCCAGCTGTAGCCCCCTCTCTCATCCCCTCCCAATCCCATCCTCCCTCCCTCATCTCCTCCAGGCCCCTCTCCAAGTCCACTGATAGAGGAGGTCCTCCTTCCCTTCCCTTTGACCCTAGCCTTTCAGGTCTCATCAGGACTGGCTGAATTTTCTTCCTCTGAGGCCCGGTAAGGCTTCTCCTCTTTCAATACCATTTTTTATTTTGTGCTTTTAAAGTTTTAACTATAATACATCATGGAGAATTTATTTTCTAGGCTTCTGTATTTGTTCTTCTGTAGTTTTCTTGTACCTTGGTTGGCATCACTTTAATTAGCTTTTGGAACTTTTCTATCTTTACTAAATGATATTTTCTATGACTTTGTTAATTTCTTCTGTTCATTCATACTGTGAGAAACTGGTTTGCTATATCTTATGTTCTTCTTGGACTGTGGTGTTTATATCACCAAGAAGGGATTACATTTTCATAATCACTCATTTAAGACATTGTAACAAGGAAAAAGATTTAACAAATGTTTAGTTCTGATACTAGGACATTCCTTCAAACCCACATCTTTAAATCTGTTGGTTATCTTGCATCAAAGAATCATGTTCAAGAATTTATCAATGAAATTCTTATTCTGGAGATTTACTACTTTGTGTCTAATGGAGCAGCTGCTATGAGCTGATTGATACACAGCCTTGACCAATTACCCAGGATTGTAAGGAATTGTGATTTACTGAGCAGGAGGTTTCCCTGTGCCATTTCATTGCATACAGTCTTATAATAGACAGGTTCTGTCTATTATTGTACACTGCTTATCTGACACAAAAAGAAAGTTCCAAGAAGCTACAGGTTGACCTGTTAACATTTACTAATGTAGTACTTTTTTTTATTGTTGCTTCGTTTGGGTTTTTGTTCATGCTATTCTCCCATCGTTTTTAGGGAATCATTTTACCAGGGGGTGGGGGGGCACTTGTTCATTATCATATCACAATATGTACTACGTTCACTGCCCTAAACTCATGGAAATAGAGTCCTCGGCAGGATAACTTTCATCAGTATGTTAGGTGAAAGGACACCGTTATACCTTTAAATTATCATACTTTTTATAGAACTGAGAAGAATTTCACACACAGTAATGTTTTCGGAGCACAGTAAGCACTGTGCTAACACACTGCCCTAAATGTAGGGAGGAATTACCACTATGCATCTACTCAATGATTATCCCAGGCTGAAAGGATAGATTAGTAATGGAGAAGTTTAAATCTCAGAATCTAAATTGGGAATTAATCTTTGCACTGAAATTAAGTAGATAATTTGAAAGTACAGAATACAGTAGGACTATTTCCTTTTCCAAAGTGAGCAATACACTTATTTTTTTGGGTGCAGACATCATATTGTCCTGCAGACACAAATAAATCAAAGAAGAAAATTCTGAGACACAGATAGTCAGTAGATTTAAATGGTTGTATTTGTTTTGGAAAAGCATGGCCCACTCATTTTGCCTAGCGTGCCTGGCATGGACATTTTAGGCTTTCTCCTAATTCATGTACATGGAAACATATGACCTAATATGTTTTCACAATCTAAAGTTGTTGTCATATGAAAAGTTTCTTGCTCCAAACTTGGCCAAAACAGCCCAATCCGGGAGCTGATCGCTGAGCTCTTCATGGGTGTCTCTTTGACTGAAATCATGGTGCCTTTGGCTAAAGAAGAAGCTACAAAAATATTTTCCAACTTGTTTTTCAGCAGAACACAGAGCCTCAGATGCATAGCCTAAGGGAAGAAAGAGTTCTAAAGCTCTAAGTGGCTGTGGATGTGGTATCAGGAAGAACTTGGGGTGATTACTCTGATGGTTGCATTCATTAACATATTTACAGTCACTTGAGCTGAATATATAGTTGCTGAGTATCATTAGATCTGTATCCATCAGTCTTATGGCTGGGCAGATGCATGTGTTAATAGCATGTTCTGGATTTTTAGCTTTGGGCTCCTGTATGTTCCCAATTTTGGGTGTGCCTTTACTGACAATGAATGCTATGTAAGAGTCATGGAATATTTTTACCATGAAGGAGATGTGACGATTGGTGCATTTTTTCCTCTTCATATTTTCTACACAGGCAAAAAAGTTCCTCATGAATATGTGCCATACCATTATGGGGACCTTCACATACAGTAAGTACAATTATTCATCTTCAGAGTTCAGAATTCTTGTTACTTAAAGGATGTATGATTAAAAGATTCTTGCATTTCTCACAACTTCTGTTTTCCATCCTCCAATCTCTTCAAGTATATTATCACATGTACTTCTTTTCTTCTTTCAAGAAAAAGTGATAGTTTTGAAATTACTCATTTTGCTTTCCTCATATGATATTGGAACTTGATTATCTTCTTTTGTAATGTTTGTCATGCCAAATGATTTTATTATCAGTGTTAAGATTTCATAGTGTGGATAATTTAATCTATAAGCTAGTATTTCTGGGCTCTCTTTAAGACCAGATGTGCTATTGTAAAAAGAGGTGATGTCACTGAATGCAGAATCCTGAGTTTCTCGAATGTTGCTAGATAAACAAGTCTTGACTATATTGCATGCAGCTTATTTCAGAACAAGAAAGTCACCATTAAAATTTGGGAGCACTTTTTTGCTCTAATATCTTTGTCTATCTCATTTCTTTGCCTGTCAATATATCTTTGATAATCTTTTTTTTTTTAATTCTCAGACAGATTTTAAATGTATACCTGTTTGTCATATGTTCCCAGTGCTTTTCCTCATGTTTATGAATGTGCCTACCAAAATACTCTTTCTGTGAGGGTGGCAATTGAAGGCTGTTTCTTTAGCTTTTCTGGAATATGCACGATTAAAGAATAAAGTCAGAAAATGTGTGGGTTTTTTTTTTAAGAAAAAAATGGTGAAAAATATTCTAGAGTGTCTTTTTATAGAGGAAAAATACGGTGTGGTTGTCCCATATATACTTATCGAATCTCTATGAATCAATGTAAAAAGATCCTGAAATACAGCAATAGGATTTGTAAATATCTTTGAACAGCTGAGAAAAATGATAGGAAAGCAATAGACAGAAATTTGCAAAATAAAATAGACTTATAAAGGTGACATTACTGTGTACTTGTTAAGTAATTAAGTAAAAAAAGAAAGACAGTGGAGAAGGAAGAAATATGTCCAGATGTAAAACATTCTATTTTTAGGTCTTCACACATTTAGTTTGAAACTAACATACTAAAGATATCAAGGATCCAATTTTATTTCTACATACAATAATTCATATCTCATTACAGTAGTTCAAGGTAGATAAAATTTATTACAGATTATATTTTATCTCAAATGAAATTACAAATTTGTCTCACATGACAAGCAGACCAGGGTGCTACTTGGAGCACTTTCTGCTTTATCATAACTAATGCCCTTTGTTACTCTTTCTCTTCACCACACTTTCAGAAGCTCAGGCACCAATGTATTTTTTTATGTGCTTTTTCTTTATATCATACAACAGCAAATGCTTATGTGAAAAGACTATATTTTCAGTTATATGAGCCGTGAGTGTCTTGCTTGTCCTCAATGAATAAAAGAATTGTATCCTGTAAAAAATATTCAAATTTTATATAGTAAAAAATAAAACTAAAGTAGTTCCTAACAGGAAAACAGTATTTTGCTATACAGAGGTTGCAACCATCTCTTACACAATGCAATTCCCAAACATTTTTCTGCGTGCACTCAAACAAATTTGTATTGCTTGTCTTTTTCTGGAGTAAGTAAATAGATAAAATGGAGCAACTGTAAGTTTTGTAGGATATTGCTCTGGTGTCTAAAATTTGTCCTGGATTGTTTTCTCCATTTTTATCCTGTTGTGTATTAGCAGCAGAAATGAATTCCACTTCTACATTGTTTCTTGATCCTAAGCACATTTATCCACTCTTGCTAGTGACCTTATAATTGAGGTCGCTATTTCTGTGTATTATATTCCTATAGCCTTTTCTTTGTACACAGTCAGTAGCCTCTAAATCTTTTCATGGAGGTCTATCATGTATCTGGTCTGCATTCATTTACTTGAGACATAACTTTGGTGTCTGCTTTTCTGTATCCATTGATCTTTTTGCATACTCAGTTCATTCTTTGATTTCTGACCTTTCCTACTGATTTGTCTTCATGTTCTGCTACTATCATTATTCCAAGAGAGCACTGTAAATAACCATTTGTTAATATTATTTTTATATAGCTGGGTGTGGTGGCACACACTTTTAATCTCAGCACTCAGGGAGGCAGAGGCAGGTGCCCAGATTTTTTTGGTTCTGTTGCTCTCCTTGTGGAGCTCATGTCCCTTCCAGGTTTATTATCTCCCCCTTCTTTCCTAAGGTTCCCTACACTCTGCCCAAAGTTTGGTTATGAGTCTTAACATCTGCTTTGAAACACTGCTGGGTAGAGTCTTTCAGAGGCCCTATGTGGTAGCCTCCTTTCCTGTTTCCTCTTTTTTCCTTCTTCCAAAGTCCATCCATTTGTCTTTCTGAGTGAGGATTTATCATTTTACTCGGCCCTCTTTCTTACTTAGATTTTAGTATGTTTATACTATATTATATGTCTAATATCCACTTATAAGTGAGTACATACCATGTGTGTATTTCTGCTTCTGGGATACCTCACTCAGTATGATCTTTTCTAGATCTCACCATTTGCCTGCAAATTTCATGATTTCCTTGTTTTTAATTGCCAAGTAGAATTCCATTGTGTAAATGTACCACAATTTCTGTTTCCATTCCTCCATTGAGGGATATCTGGGTTGTTTCCAGGCCCTACCTTTTACATATAGAGCTGCTATGAACATGGTTGAGCAAATTACCATTGTCGTGTACTTGAGCATAATTTGGATATTTGCGTAGGAGTGGTATAGCTGGATATTGAGAAAGCGCTATTCCTAATTGTCTGAGAAAGCACCAGATTGATTTCCAAAGTGGTTGTACAAGTTTACATTCCCACCAGCAATGGAGGAGGGTTCCCCTTTCTCCACATCCTCTCCAGCATGTATTGTAACTTGAGGTTTTGATATTAGACATTCTGATGGGTGTAAGGTTAAATCTCAGGGTTGTTTTGATTTGCGTTTTCCTGATGATGAAGGAAGTTGAGCATTTCTTTAAGTGTTTCTCTACAATTATGTATTCCTCAATTTAGAATTGTCTGTTTAGCTCTATATCCCATTTTCAAATTGGATTATTTGGGTTTTTTTTTTTTTTTTTGCTTTTTGACTTCTTGATTTCTTTATATATTCTGGATAGTAGCCCTCTGTAGATATAGGGTTGGTGAAGATCCTTTCCCAATCTGTAGGCTGTCGTTTTGTTTTGATGACAGTGTCCCTTGCTTAGAGAAGCTTTTCAGTTTCATGAGGTCCCATTTACTGGTTGTTGATCTTAGAGCCTGTGCTGTTGGTGTTCTGTTCAGGAAGGTGTCTCCTGTGCCAAAGAGCTCTAGGCGCTTACTTAATTTTTCTTCTCACTGATTTAGTGTCTGGTTTTATGTTGAGGTCTTTGATCCACTTGGATTTTAGTTTTGTGCAGGGTGATAAGTATGGATCTATTTGCATTTTTCTACATGTAGACATCCAGTTGGAGCAGCACCATTTGTTGAAGATGCTGTCTTTTTTCCATTGAATGGTTTTGGCTTCTTTGTCAAAAATTAAGTATCCATAGGTGTGTGGGCTTATTTCTGGGGCTTCTACTCGAGTCCTTCAATCCACCATTCTGTTTCTATGCCAGTTTTTATTACTATTGCTTGTAGTACAGCTTGATATCAGGGATGGTGATAACTCCAGATGCTCTGTTGTTTTACAGGATTGCTTTGGAGATTCTGGGTTTTTTGTTTCTCCATATGAAGTTGAGAAATTTTCTTTCAAGATCTGTAAAGAATTGTGTGGTATTTTGATGGGAATTGCATCGAATCTGTAGATTGCTTTTGGCAGAATGGCCATTTTCACTATGCTAATCCTACCAATCTATGAGCACAGAGAACTTTCTATCTTCTGTTGGTATAGTGCTCTTTTAAAATGTATACAGCTTACCCTTGTTCACTCAAATGCTGATTTCTGCCCCCTACTCTCTGGTTTCAATCCAGATATTGCATTGTGATACTCATTCTAAGCATCCTGTCTCAACTCTTGTGTAAACAGGCCAAAATAAAGCAACTAGAAACAATGTTGAGCTGGGAGGAGCCAGAGGGCAGGAAATGAGTGGCAGGAGGAGTGGCTAGAAGAGAACTTGAAGAGAGACCTGGAGGAGAGATCTTGGAACTATGTAGAGAGATGGACTGGACCTAAGATTTCACAAAAAGCAAGTATAATGTGGGAAATCTAAATGTTAGGAAACAATGAGGGCTTGGAGGTTTAGGATGGAGTAGCTATTGCCCAGCATTGTATTCTAGCTTAACTAAATAAAACCAGTGTCTAATGTGGTGATTTGGTTATACAGCTGTTTAGGATTAACAGCAGCATTACCAGAAGATAAATCAATAGTAAATATTAATCTCCGCCTACAACAATCTTCTGATACCTTCTTCAATTTCTTTTTTCTGTGACTTGAATATTTTTTTGAATAGGTCTTTTACTTGCTTGGTTAGAGTCATACCAAGATACTTTATGCTATAAATGGCTATTTTGAAGTGTGTTGTTTCCCTAATTTCTTTCTTGGCTCTTTTGTCTTTGGTATACAGGAGGGCTTCTGCTTTTTTTTTTTTTTAATTAATTTTGTATCCAGCCACTTTGCTGAGGTGTTTATCAGCTGAAGGGTTTCTCTATTTGAATTTTTGGGGTTGCTCATATATACCATCATATGCAAATAGTGACACTTTGACCTCTTCCAATTTGTATCCCCTTGATCTCCTTTAGTTGTCTTATTGCTATAGCTACAACTTCAAGTATTATGTTGAAGAGATATGGAGAGAGTGGGCAGCCTTGTCTTGTCCCTGATTTCAGTGGGATTGATTTAAGTTTCTCTCCATTGAGTTTGATGTTGGCTATAGGTTTGCTGTATATTGTTTTTACTATGTTTAGGAATGTGCCTTGCATCCCTGATCTCTCCAAGACTTTAAACATGAATGGATGTTGGAATTTGTCAAATGCTTTTTCAGCATCTAAGATGATCATGTGGTTTTTCTTCTTCATTTTGTTTATATGGTG